CCTGGGAGTTTATTCTCATTAAGGTTACACATGCCATGAATGAGGAGGGAGAGGATGAGATCTCAAAATGCCTCTCCACTGGTGTATTAATATACTTGAACCCCCATAACAAATACCACCGACAGGGTGGCTTTTGAACCCTGAATAGCTGAGACAAGTCTCAGTTAATTTAGAAAGTTTATTTTGCCAAGGTTGAGGGCACCATGACAGAGCCTCAGGAGAGATCCTGATGACATGTGCCCAAGGTGGTTGGGGAACAGCTTGGTTTTATACATTTTAGGGAGACATGAGACACCAATCAAGATGTACATTGGTTCTGTCCAAAAGGTGGGGCAACTCAAGAAGGGAGGGGGCTTCCAGGTCACGGGTAGGTGAGAGACAAACAGTTGCATTTTTCTGAGTTTCTGATTAGCCTCTCCAAAAGAGACAATCAGATATGCATTTGTCTCAGTGAGCAGAGGGGTGACTTTGAACAGAATGGGAGGCAGGTTTACCCTAAGTACTTTTCAGCTTGACTTTTCACTTTAGCTTAGTGATTTGGGGACCCCAAGATTTATTTTCCTTTCATAGCTTAAACAACAGAAATTAATTTTCTCACAATTCTGGAGGCTGGAAGTCCAAGATCAAGTTGTCAGCAGGGTTGGTTTCTTCTGAGGCCTCTCTCCTTGGCTTATAGATGACTGGCTGTTCTCTACATCTTCACATTATCTTCCCTCTGTACATGTCTGTACATGTACAATCTCTTTTCACCCTAATGACCTAAGCTTAGCTTAATCACCTCTTTGAAGGCCCTGTCTCCAAAGACAGTTACATTCTAAAGTATTAGGATTAGGGCCAGGTACGGTGGCTTATACCTGTAGTCCCAGGATTTTGGGGGGCCAAGGCGGGAGGATCACTTGAGGTTAGGGGTTCAAGACCAGCCTGGCAACATAGTGAAACCCCGTCTCTACTAAAAATATAAAAATTAGCCAGGTGTGGTAGTGCACACCTGTAATCCCAGCTACTTGAGAGGCTGAGGCAGAAGAATTGCTTGAACCTGGGAGGCAAAGCCTGCAGTGAGCAGAGATCATGTCACCACACTCCAGCCTGGGCAACAGAGCAAGTTTCTGTCTTAAAAAAGACCTAAAAGTTAAAGATAAAGTGTTAGGATTAGGACTTTCAGATATGAATTTGGGGTGGGGATACCATTTAGCCCATAACATCTGGGTGTCAACCACTCTCCCCCACTGACAGCAGACTCTTAAAAACTGAAAAGTCCAGAAATCAGAATGCATGAGCTCACTGATCCTACTAAGCACCTCTACCTGCCAGGTGTTTGAATGAAAAGTGGAAGGTAGAAAGACACTGAGATGCTGAGATGAGCCAATCCTGTTTGCACAGCCCTTCCCATGGCTCCTGTTCTTTCTCTCCATAACCCACTGCATGAGGCTTTGGTAGGGAAGAAGAGGGTAGAGGAAGAAGAAACAGGAAGAGGAAACAAAAGGAAGAAAAACTTTTTCTTCATGAAGCTTCCAGAATGTTAGACTCCTCTTGCATTTTTGACTGTTCCTTCTTTGTTTCTTTTGCTGGTTCCTCCTTTTAACCCCGACTTTTAATTTTAATTTTAATTTTTATTTTTTGAGATTAAGTCTCGCTGTTGTTGCCCAGGCTGGAGTGCAATGGTGTGATCTCGACTCACTGCAACCTCTGCCTCCCAGGTTCAACCGATTCTCCTGCCTCAGCTTCCTGAGTAGCTGAGATTACAGGCACCTGCCACCACGCCCAGCTAATTTTTGTATGTTTAGTACAGACGGGGTTTCACCACGTTGGTCAGGCTAGTCTTGAATTTCTGACCTCAGGCAGTCCACCCGCCTCAGCCTCCCAAAGTGCTGGGATTACAGGTTAGCTCCCTGTCAAGATTGAAGCACCCCAGGGCTCAGTTTAGGGTCTCTTCTTATCTACTCATTCCTTTGGGCATTTCATCTAACATCAGGGCTTTAGATTCCAACTCACATATGCTAACGAACCTCATGCTTATGTCTCCAGCCTAGTGATTACTCCTCAACTCCAGATTCACACATCACCTGCCCCCTTGGCATCTCCATTTAGATGTCTGTTAGGCATGTCAAACTAGCACATATTGAACATCTGACCTTCTCCTCTTTCCTCATCAGACACATAAAATCTGCTGGTTTTATTACTATTTTTTAATTTTTTTTTTGAGACAAAGTCTCACTCTATCACCCAGGCTGGAGGGCAGTGGCAAATTATAGCTCACTGTATCCTCAAACTCCTGGGCTCAAGCAAGAAGCAGCTTGAGCCTCCCAAGTAGGTGGGACTGCAGGTTTAAGCCACTATGCTTGGCTTTTTTTTTTTTTTTTTTTTTTTTGTAGAGACAGGGTCTCCCTATGTTGACGAGGCTGGTTTCAAACTCCTGGCCTAAAGCAATCCTCCTGCCTCAGCCCCACAAGCATGAACCATTGCACCCAGGTAAATCTGCTCTTCTTGTGGCTGAGGAAACTCCATCCCTCTAGTTGCTCGGGCCAAAAATCTTGGAGTTATCCTTTACCCACCTCTCTCTCATACCCCACATCCAATCCATCGGCAGCTTTTGTAGGTTTCATCTTCAAACACATAGATCCAGAATCTGCCCATATTTCTCATCACCCCAATTGTAACCGGTCTAAATGACCATCGTCTTGTTCCTGGATTACTACAATAGCAGCTGACCTGCTTCTGTTCCCCCGACCAATGCAGCCTACTCTCAATGCTGTAGCCCGAACAATCCCATTAAGACACAAACCAGATCACGCCTCTTTTTCTGAAAACCTCTATGGCTTCCCATCTCATTCAAAGTCAAAGTCAGAGTTCTTACAAAACCCCACATCATCTGCCTCCTTCCTCCACCACTGTGCCTTCATCCCACAAAACTCCCTGATCCACTCTACTCAAGCTTCCTTGCTCTCCTTGAATGCACCAGGCACGCTTCTACCTTTGAATCTTTGCACTAGCTCTTCCCTCTGTCCCAAATGTCCACACACCTAACTTCATCACTGGCTTCAAGTCTTTGTTCAAATGCCACCTTCCTCAAGAGGCCCTACAGACCTGGAGTCAAAGGAGATCATTTTCGAGCTTTAAAATTTGACTACCCCGCTGGATTTCAGACTTGCATGGGCCCTGTAACCCCTTTGTTTTGGCCAGTTTCTCTTATTTGGAATGGCTGTATTTACCAAATACCTGTACCCTCCTGTATCCAGGAAGTAACTAGCTTGCTTTTGATTTTACAGGCTCATAGGTGGACTTGCCTTGTCTCAGATGACACTTTGGACTATGGACTTTTGGGTTAATGCTGAAATGAGTTAAGACTTTGGAGGACTGCTGGGAAGGCATTATTAGTTTTGAAATGTGAGGACATTAGATTTTAAGGGGCCAGGGACAGAACGATACGTTTTGGCTGTGTCCTCACCCAAATCTCAACTTGAATTATATTCCCTTAATTCCCACATACTGTGGGAGGAACCTGGTGAGAGATAATCTGAATCATGGGGACAGTTTCCACTTACACTGTTCCCGAGCAGTGAATAAGTCTCTCAAGATCTGATGGTTTTATTAGGGGTTTCTGCTTTTGCATATTCCTCATTTTCTCTTGCTGCCACCATGTAAGAGGTGCCTTTTGCCCTCCGCCATGATTCTGAGGCCTCCCCTCAGAATCATGTGGAACATAAGTCCAATTAAACCTCTTATTCTTCCTAGTCTCGGGTATGCCTTTATCAGTGGCATTACAATGGACTCATACACCTACCCAGACCACACTGTTTAACACGACAACCAACCTGCACTTCTAATCTCCCTTACCCTGTTTCACTGCTTTAACACATCTTTTCCATTATACTTATCACCTCCTGATGTATAATTCACTATTTCTTCATTGTGTATTTGTCTTGTTTTTGAGAGACGGTCTCACTCTGTTACCCAGGCTGAAGTGCAGTGGCATAATCTCAGCTTATTGCAACCTCCACCTCCCAGGCTCAAGTGATCCTTGCACTTTAGCCTCCCAAGTAGCTGGGACTACAGGAGCCCGCCACCATGCCCAGCTAAATTATTTTTGTATGTTTTTGTAGATATGAGGTTGCTACATTGTCCAGGCTGGTCTCAAACTCCTGAGCTGAAGCAATCTGCCCACCTTGACCTCCCAAAGTGCTGGGACTAGAGACGTGAGTCACTGCACCTGGCCTTACATTGTGTATGTTTTTTGTTAGTCTTTCCCCATTGGAATATAAACCTCATGGGGTAGGGATTGTTTTGTAGTGATATATCCCTAGAACAGTGCCGTGCTCACATAGTAGGTACTCGATATTCAAACAAATGAACAGAGAGAACATCCTAGAATGTGTTCAGAAACCAAATGGAAATAAAGCACAAGAATTAGCCTTTCCCAGCCTGACCTCTCTTTGATTCTATTGCTAACTGGCTGTGTGTCCTCGGACATGTTTAACCTCTGCCCCATCACTGTTTAACAGAACTTTTTTTTTTTTTTTTTTGAGACAGAGTCTCACCCTGTTGCCTAGGCTGAAGCACAGGATGCAATCTCAATTCACCACAACCTCCACCTCCCAAGTTCAAGTGATTCTCCTGCCTCAGCCTCCCAAGTAGCTAGGATTACAAGTGTACACCACCACACCCAGCTAATTTTTGTATTTTTAGTGGAGACAGGGTTTCACCATGTTGGCCAGCCTGGTCTCAAACTCCTGACCTCAGGTGATCCACCCACCTCTGCCTCCCAGAGTGCTGGGATTACAGGGGTGAGCCACCACACCCAGCCACATAGCACTCTCTTTAATGGCAGTCACATTCTATATCTGCAACATCCCATAGGGTAGCCATTGGCTGCACAAAGCTACTAAGCACTTGAAATGTGACTAGAATGACTGAAGAACTGAATTTATTTTATTTTATTTTAATGAATTTAAATCGAAGTAGTCACAAGTGGCTAGTGGTCGTCCTATTGGACACTGCAGGCCTGTTTCCTCACCAGACTGAGGAGAGAGAGATGTGTATGTCAAGCATCCAGCTGGCAATGACAGACACTCAGTGCAGGCTCCTTCCCTGCCCCACACTGCCGAAGGCCACAGGTAAGAAGCCTAACTTCCACACCAACGGCACAGTCCGCTACTATGGGGGTAGAAGGACTGGAGCACTTTTTGTTTTTAAAGAAGGCACGTTGGTTTTATTAAATGCATGGGGTCAGGGAGATCACAGAGTGATTGCCCCAACTCCACAATGGGGTACAGAAGTTTTGGCTCCCTTTCTCACAGGGGAGTCAGAGCACATGTATAAGCGCAGGCCCGGAGAGAGAACAGCTGCAAGGACTCTAGGAAGAAGCAGATGAAATAAAGGATGACACGTGGGGATACTTTTTATATGTATATGTATGCCAGAATTATCACATTTTTGAAGCCTTCAAACAATTTTGAAGAGCCCTGGAAGTCCTTAGAGGTGCACTGGGGCCTGTCAAGGAGCTTGGAGAGGACTCAAGCAATAGACTTCTCCCCAGCAGAACCACTCTACACTTGGCTGCTTTTCAGGGCAGAGTTTTCTGTTACAGAGTTTGAAAATCACTTCAAATCTCCCGGAAGCAAACTTTAAAAACACTGTCAATAAACGTGAAACTCAACCACCGTAGCCCCAGCACATGGCATGGGAATGCAGCTCCAAAATACAGGGCCACACAACTGTAGTGTCTCAGGTTGTGTTTTGAAAATCCAGCTACCTCAGGCTTCCCAGGACCTAAGATCTTTAAATTCTGGACTTCAAAGGCCTAGACTTTTCACTGATTCAGATTTAGTAATAAACAACGAGGCCTGATAATTGTTTATTAATTTGAATACAACTGACTACAGCAACAGTTCTATAACATAACATGAATGAAAGATCAAAATATATGCATATCATATCAGAGACTTGGATTGAAAAACCAAAAACGGCTAAGTATATTAGCAAGGGTAAACCATGCTCTATAGTGGTTCTAGGTGATGAAGAAAAATAGGAAAGAACAAAGATCTTCAAGAATCTTCTAAGACAAACCTCAAGAATGCCACTGAAACTGTTTTCTGGAGTTCTGTGTAAGAATTCACTTCAAAATAAGTTTCACATCTTAGGAGACTGTGGGATCCTCAGCTGGAGAAGGAGGTGGGGCAGGAGGTACTGTGAGGTGGGTCCTGCGAGGGGGAGGGGTTTGTTCCAAATCCAAGTGGGAGAGCATCTCCTTGGCTTCATCACTTTTCTGGGTAATTATCTCTTTTCTAGGAAGAAAGGCACATTGAATGCCATTTGAATAAAGATAGGGGTTTAAATAAATAGAGAGAAAGAACAGACTGGGCATGGTGTTTCATGCAGATACAGATAATCCCAGCACTTTGGGAGGCTGAGGTAGAAGGATCACTTGAGCCCAGGAGTTCAAGACCAGCCTGGACAACATAGGGAGACCCCCTCTCCACAAGAAAATAAAAATTAGCCAGGTATGGTAGCATGTACCTGTGGTCCCAGCTACTCGGGAGGCTGAGGTGGGAGGATTGCTTGAGCCTGGGAGATCAGGATACAGTGAGCTGTGATTGTACCATTGCACTTTAGCCTGGGTGACAGAGTGAGACCCTGTCTCAAAACAACCAAAAAGAAGGAACAAAAGAAATACCCCAGATGCCAGCATCTAAAGAGAATAGTTAACATTTTAGAGGACATCCTTTCAAGCTCCTCCAGCCACACTCACCTTGCAGAAATGAGATCTACTTTATGAACACTTTGTCAGTCAGCTCTCCTCAGAGTGAGCTCAGCTGTCCCCGTTGGTGCCATGGAACCAACAGAGTTGGAGTCTGCACCCTCACTCCTCCACCCCCATCCTCCAAGGGTCTCTTAGGATTAGAGCAGGAGTTCTTCCCATCAATTAGCTTTCTCCATCCCCTACTGGCCTCTGTGCATTTCATCCTGGGACAGGCTGTGTCTAAATCTTGCATTTGCATTCCAGCTATTCGTAGGGCCAGTCCATTCTCAGGTTCACTTCACAGCTTTGGCCTAACTTGTCCCCATCGCCAGGCTGCGAGGTTCACCTCCCCTTCTGCTGGAGTCTTCCCATCCTCTCCAGGGCTCGGCAAACCTTGCCATCAAGCGCATAGGACTAGCCTGTCAAGCTTTTACAGGTTCAGATTTAACTGTTCCCTGAACATTTACTATGTTCCAGGGACTAGAAATTACCTAGAAAGTAACCACATGTAGAATCTCAGCCCCCACATTAAATCTTTCAGCTGAGCAAGCTGAGACAGAAGGTGATTTACCCAGATCACGTGACCAGTAGAAGGCAGAACTGGAATCCAAATTTAAATTTTAATCTGGCCACAAGTTCACGGCTGCCGTCTCCCAGTCAAAGCTGATCCCTAATGTTGCTGAAAGGATGTGGGATGATAGGAAAGGAATTGTTTGGTGGCTAGGACAGGCCGCAGAATTGTGCCATCTCGTCCTTGGATGGACATTAGAGCGCAGGGACCACACTTCCTGCAGACAATGCCCACTCTCACGGTCTAAACCCATGGTGTAAAACTGGCCGTGCACCACTATCAATAAGGAGTTAACATTCCCATGTATGGTAACTAAGAAATGGTACCTAATTCCTATTCATTTGTTAGTATCTTAAATCCTAATAAATTCTAAGGTCAAAGGGCATTGTAAACAACATTAGATGGAATCTGTATTTTTTATTTCAAATCAATAATTGATTTTTTTGACCAACTTCTTAACAGATTTAGTAAGATTATTATTTTTAATCTCATAATGTACCCGACGAAGAGCTCAAGCTAGAGGTGTCAGCTTGGGCCAGGCACAGTGGCTCTCGTCTGTAATCCCAGCACTTTGGGAGGCCGAGGCAGGTGGACCACTTGAGCCCAGGAGTTTGAGACCAGCCTGGGCAACATGGCAAAACCCTGTTTCTGTTAAAAATACAAAATATTAACCAGACATGGTGGCGCATGGCTAGTGGGAGGCTGAGGTGGGAGGATTGCTTAAACCCCAGGAGGTTGAGGCTGAGGCTGAGGCTACAGTGAGCTGTGATTGCACTGCTGAACTCCAGCCCAGGTGACAGAGCGAGACCCTGTCTCGAAAAAACAAAACAAAACAAAGTGATCCCCACTCCCCACCCTCTATCAAGAGCCACCAATGTGAAGTTTATCCCACCACCACCCACGCAGTGAACATACACAAATGGGTGTCATCACCCTTTGAAGGGCCATGTGAGAAAAGTCTGTTTTCCACAATGGATGACAAAGCAGTTTCCTCTTCTGTGAGACGTGTCTTGCAGCAGCATTAAATACATTTAAATAACCAGTGCCAGCTACAGTTTCAGGCACTTGCTGGGGCTCAGTGTTATGCTCCATCCCAACCCCACAAGCGATCCAGAGGAAAGATTTTAGGTACCTCGTGGTCATGGTGACTCGGCGCCTGGTTACCTCGGAGGTCAAGTCCTTGTAGGGGAGATTAATGCCGTTGTCTGCAGGGCTTCTCTGAGCCATGGCCTTGCACTCAGGGGATTTGAGGAATTTAAAGTTACTGCACCTGTGAGTGTAAAACACACATGCTAGCACCCATGCTTCAGGGGTCAGGAATGCTCCAGCTAGGTCCAGCATGACGCAGTTTGCAGAGAACATTCACTGCCTTACTCTCAGTGGGTTTTCTGGACAGCCTGGCCATCATCCTCTTTCCCCCCAGGTCAAGAGGCAGATATTTCCTCAAATACCTATTATGAGGAGTGGGCGGCTAAGAGTAAAATCCTTGTTGGTTGTTTATATATAACAAATGTGATTATTCCAATCGTGCAATGGGCGGCTCTCATTACCCCCAGATAACACCGAGGATGTGGAGGCACAGAGAGGTGAACTGAATCTCCCCAGGTTGCACAGCAGCCCTGTCTCATGCTGGTTTCCCTCTAATGGCGCCATTCCAGAGGAGCCCTTTCCTCACAGGGCTGTTTGGCCTCACTGACACGTGCAGAGCTTTCTTCCTGGAACACTTACCTTCTAAAAAGCAGGAAAGGGACATAAACAAGACTGCGGCTGGGAGCCAAGCAACTTGTCCAGATACGCACATGGCATAGAGACTGGAGGGTTGATTTTGATAACAGAGATAGCGGCCACCCATTTACTGTCAGCCACCTTGGGATGTCCTTTTACTTTGTCCCCCTCCTCCTTTTTTGGGGGGGTTTTTTGTTTGTTTGTTTGTTTTTGAGGCAGGGTCTGGCTCTGTTATGAAGGCTGGAGTGTATCGGAGCCATCTCGGTTCACTGCAGCCTCCGCCTCCCGAGTAGCTGAGACTACAGGTGCATGCCACCATGCCCAGCTAATTTTTGTATTTTTTGTAGAGATGGGTTTCACCATGTTGCTCAGGTTGGTCTCAAACTCCTGAGATCAAGAAATCTGCCCTCCTTAGCTTTCCAAAGTGCTGGGATTACAGGCGAGAGCCACCATGCCTGGCCCTTTTACTTCATGTTATTTGATAACCACAGTAACCCCACATGTAAGTATTATGATCCTCATTCAACAAATGGGGAAACTGAGCAGTAGAGAAATTAGGTAGCTTTTCAGGAGTCACAGAGCTAGAATTAGAACTAGGTCTGTCTGACTTCAAAGACTATATTCTCTCCACTACAGAGCCAAGTCATCTCCCAATAAACAGAAGATGAATTAGAATAATTCCCATTCCTAGACACCAGGTCACACTCAACGTGGTGACTCTGCCATTCTACAGTATAGATTGCAACAGCCGGAGCTCACCAGCTTGATCTTTTGGCTGGAAAGGTTTGTTCTTATAAGGATGCCCAACTTACCTTTTAATCCCAGGTCAGCTTAGCATATAACCGCTTTTACGCGTCAACTCATGGATTTGCTAAGAAATGTCCTTATGACATACTCTGTACCCACATACCAGCTACTTCACCACTTTGGAAAGAGAAAAGGTGGAAAAAGGACCACCAACGTCAACTTCCTCCCCTTGAGTCTTTTATCCTCCTGTAGTCAGTCTCTCTGAGGAACTTGGGTTAATAAGACTGATTTGCAACCTTAGAAAGCATCAGCTGAAACAAATTACCCCTGGAGCCATGTCCTTGAGAAATCCCCACAGATGTCACAGGGAGAGAACGGGTCTTGGGGGCAGAGCAGGGAAAGAGCTTTCTGTCATGTGAGCAGTGGTGAAGCACTGTCTTAGACGCTGGTAAACACGACATTGTGACCTAGTCTCTTTATCGGCTACTTTTTAAAAAGCTAATTCACGTACGCCCCGCCTCCCAGCGCCAGCAGTCATCACTGATCCCACCTCTTCCTGATAATTCACAGCACTTCTGCCATGCTGGCAGGTGTTTCAGCTCTGAAATTAAAGGAGTTGTCTGCGCAACTCCCACTTTTGATCTGAGTGATCTCGGGCAAGTAATTTAACCTCTAGAAGCCTTGGTTTTCTTATTTGTGAAAGAGGACTAATACTATCTTCTAGGGCAGTCGTGAGGGTTGAGAAAATATTTGCAAAAAATTCCTAATTTTGCCTTTCTTGCATTTTTTTACTTTTAAAAATGTATTATTACTATTATAATTATTGAGACAGGGTCTCACCCTGTCACCCAGGCTGAAGTGAAATGGTGAGATCATAGCATAGATCCCATCAGGCTGAGGTGGGAGGATCATTTGAGGCCAAGAGTTCAAGGCTGCAGTCGATTTCTTTACAATGATAATAAAACCACAATAGAAGAAATTTGCTATTTGGGAAGATAAGATGTAATGAAGCTGGGATTAAAAACAAGGTTGACACAAGGTCTATATATACATAGATAGATATAGCTATTTCCCTTTGTCAACGAAAAGAGTCAAACTCTGTAAAACATTTGAAGAGATTCTGAGCCAAATATGAGTGACCATCATGACCTGTGACACAGCCCTCAGGAGGTCCTGAGAACACATGCCCAAGGTGATCGGGGTGCAGCTTGGTTTTACACATTTTAGAGAGGCAGGAGACATCAATCAAATACATTTAAGAAATACATTGGTTTGGTCCAGAAAGGCAGGACAACTCAAAGCGGGGGGGCTTCCAGGCTATAGGTGAATTTAAAAATTTTCTTTTTTATAATTGGTTGAGTATTCTAAAGACCTGGCATTGATGGAAAGAGAATGTTCAGGTTAAGATAAAAGATGGTGAAGGCCAAAGGTTCTTTCAAAGTCTTATAGTGACTGACCTTAGAGACAATAGATGACAAATGTTTCCTATTTAGATCTCAGTTAATCTCCTTAGGATTGGGAGGGTCTGGAATAAAAAGATCTAGCTATGTTAATAGAGATTCTTTACAGATGCAAATTTGCCCCCACAAAGAATGGCTTCGCATGACCATTTCAAAATATGGTGAAGAAACATGTTTGGGGGTAAAATATTTTGATTTTCTTTCTTGTCTCATAATGTTATGCCAGAGTCAGGTTGGAGAGTTTAAGCCACGATTAGTGTTAAATAAAACCCATCTGAAGAGAATTTATGATTTGCAGGGCTTGATACCCCACACCCCTTAGATAGGAATTTGGGCAAAATAAAAATCAGAGTTTAGTCCTCACCTTCATATAATGGAATGAAGGTAAGCCCTGTCCCCTGTATTAGTCAGGGTTCTCTAGAGGGAAAGAGCTAATAGGAGATAGATAGATAGATAGATTTTATACAGATAGATTTTATATATATATATACACACACACACATATATATATATATATATATAAAAAGGGGGGTTTATTAAGTATTAACTCACATGATCACAAGGTCCCACAAGCTGTCTGCAAGCTGAGGAGTAAGAAATGCCAGTCTGAGTCCCAAGACTGAAGAACTTGGAGTCTGATGTTGGAAGGCAGGAAGCATCCAGCACAGGAGAAAGATGTAGGCTGGGGGCTAGGCCAGTCTCACCTTTTCACATTTTTCTGCCTGCTTATATTCTAGCTGGCAGCTGCGTAGACTGTGCCCACCCAGATGAAGAGTGGGTCTGCCTTTCCCAGCCCAGTGACTCAAACGTTTTTTGTTTGTTTGTTTGTTTGTTTTTGAGACAGAGCCCTGCTCTGTTGCCCAGGCTGGAGTGCAGTGGCGCAATCTCGGCTCACTGCAACCTCTGCCTCCCAGGTTGAAGCAATTATCCTGTCTCAGCCTCCCCAGTAGCTGGGACTACAGGCCCACACCACCATGCCCAGCTAATTTTTGTATTTTTAGTAGAGACGGGGTTTTACCCCGTCACCATATTGGTCAGGTGGTCTCAAATTCCTGACAGGCGATCCTCCCACCTCAGCCTCCCAAAGTGCTGGGATTACAGGTGTGAGCCACCACGCCCGGCCCTAACTCAAATGTTAATCTCCTTTGGCAACACCCTCACAGACATACCCAGGATCAATGCTTTGTATCCTTCAATCCAATCAAGCTGACACTCAGTGTTAACCATCATGTTACAGGAAAGGGGTCCTGAAGCAGACTCCAAGAGAGGGTTCTTGGATCTTGTGCAAGAAAGAATTCAGGGCGAGTCCGCAGTGCAAAGTGAAAGCAAGTTTATCAAGAAAGTAAATGAATAAAAGAATGGCTACTCCATAGACAGAGCAACCCCAGGGCAACTGGTTGCCCATTTTTATGGTTATTTCTTGATGATATGCTAAACTAGGGGTAGATTATTCATGCCTCCCCTTGTTAGACCATATAGGGTGACTTCCTGACATTGTCATGGCATTTGTAAACTGTCATGGCGCTGCAGGGAGTGTAGCAGTGAAGACGACCAGAGGTCACTCTCGTCACCATTTTGGTTTTGGCTGGCTCCTTTACTGCAAACTGTTTTATCAGCAAGGTCTTTATGACCTGTGTTTTGTGCCAACTTCCTATCTCATCCTGTGACTCAGGATGCCTTCACTGTCTGAGAATGAGCCCGGTAGGTTTCAGCCTCATTTTCCCCAGCTCCTGTTTAAGATGCAGTTGCTCTGGTTCCCACGCCTCTGACAATCACACCCTCCGAGCCCAATTAGATACTTTTTGAAAGCAGGGGCTGGGTGCAGTGGCTCATGCCTGTAATCCCAGCACTTTGGGAGGCCAAGGCGGATGGATCACGAGGTCAAGAGTTTGAGACCAGCCTGAAAACATGGTGAAACCCCATCTCTACTAAAGAGACAAAAAAAATTAGCCGGGCATGGTGGTGTTCACCTGTAATCCCAGCTGCTTGGGTGCCTGAGGCAGGAGAATCACTTGAACCCGGGAGGCAGAGGTTGCAGTGAGCTGGGATAGCGCCATTGCAGTCCAGTCTGGGTGACAGAGTGAAACTTCGTCTCAAAAAAAAAAAAAAAAAAAAAAAGGAAGAAAGAAAGGAAAAAAAAAAAAAGCAGGAGCCCAGTATTTTTCCCTTCCTCCTATCTCAGGGCTTGGCCAGGCTGAGCTCCTAGTGGGGACCCAACAATTACTTACATTGAATCAGAAGATTCAGAAGCATTGTCTTCTCATCTGTTCCTTTAGCTATATGATTCCCAAAGTCTCTAAATCGTGAAGGGTTTTCAAAGTATAGACAAATTTTTGCATTGTATTTGAATATGTCAGAAGTAATTATTGTATGTAAATTTCAGGAGATATACAGCCACCGTAATAATTTGTTTTTGTTTGTTTGTTTTTGTTTTTGAGATGGAGTCTCGCTCTGTTGCCTAGACTGGAATGCAGTGATGTCAGCTCACTGCAATCTCCACCTCCCGGTTTCAAACAATTATTGTGCCTCAGCCTCCCCAGTAGCTAGAACCACAGGTGCCCACCACATTTTTTAATTTTTAGTAGAGATGGGGGTTTCCCCACATTGGCCAGGCTGGTTTTGAACTCCTGACCTTAAGTGATCTGCCCATCTTGGCTTCCCAAAATGTTGGGATTACAGGCATGAGCTGCTGCGCCCAGTCTTGATTTCTTTAAATAATCTGTTTTGTGTGTGTTTGTTTGCTACTGTTTTAGTTTAATGACTTTTGAAAACAAAATCTGAGCTTTAGCTAGGAACCCTCAGGGAGTCTGTTGTAGTTCAGATACATCTAAAGTGTTGACAATAGTATAATCCAGAAAAAAATCACTATTTCCCACACTAGCCATCCTTTAGGATGTGTCATACTTCGCTGAAACATGTTCCTGAATCCTGACGTCTAAACATGAAGCTTACATTTCATACAAGGAGAGGTCCTGGTAATAAAGCCGTTGAACAATAAGAGAGTCTATTTCTTTACACTGATGATAATGAAAGCACAATAGAAGAAATCTGCTATTTGGGGGATAAGATGTAATGAGCTAGGATTCAAAACAAGGTCTGCTTGATACCAAAGTCCATGCATTTAACAACCACATTTTCCACTCTCCAAATACATATATGGGTAAAATAAAGCAAGAAAATGCATACTTTAGAAGCAATAGAAAAGTATCCAACGACAAGACACTGTTACCAATTTTAAAACAAATTGGGGGCACCAAAAGCTTTCTTAGATTCTTAGTTACTTGATAAATAGATTGAAATTATCTCAAATGATAGGGGCTGGTTGAGAGGATACTCATGTCAAAAGATACTCAGGTCAAAAAAGAGGGATACTCATGTCAAAAAAAGGAGATAGTGAGGCCAGACGTGGTAGCTCACACCTGTAATCTCAGCACTTTGAGAGGCTGAGGTGGGCAGATCACCCAACGTCAGGAGTTTGAGACCAGCCTGGCCAACATGGTGAAACCCCGTCTCCACTAAAAAATATAAAAATTAGCTGGGTGTGGTGGCGGGCACCTGTAATCCCAGCAACTCAGGAGGCTGAGGCAGGAGAACTGCTTGAATCCAGGAGGTGGAGGTTGCAGTGAGCTGAGATCACGCCACTGCACTCCAGCCTGGGTGACAGAGCAAGACACCATCTCAAAAAACAAACAACAAACAAAAAGGCGATAGTGATCCTCTTGAAAGAACAGGATGGGTGACCCTCGTGGGCCTTGCAGGAAGAATTGAACTGGAACCCCAAAGGCACATGTAGGAACTAGATTACCTTGTCATCCCCTCAACAGCAGAGGCTGTGGCACTAGATCACTATCACAAATGTGACTCAGTTATCCTCAATCTCTGCAAAATGTCTAAGGCCAACATAACTTTTTTTAGACATATATGCATATCTGAGATAAAGGACAGTTAGCACTAAGGTGGGGTTATGAGTCTGTCAAGTGTACTATCAGCTCCCTTGACCAGCTCTTGAGTCTCTGAACTTGGTTGGTTGAGTGCCAACCCAGGTGACATTCACTTCTCTACCCACTCAGCACCTGCACCTGTGCAGCTGTATGTGGCTAGTGGAAAACATACAATCTTGATAGCCAGTCTTCCTTTAAATTCATGAGTGCAGCTGTCAGTGCATGCTCATCCTAGGCCTAGATACCTTCTCTTCTGTCCTCAAACCTCCAACACGTCTTCCCAATTCTCATTCTTAGCTGAGGAAAATGGAAGCAATTATAAGAGAATTCCACACTCACCACGCCTACCCACCTTCCAACCTTCGTGCCCATGTTCTCTGTCTCCTCTCACCTTACTCTAGATGAACTATTGGCACTCTTTTCAGGGGCCAACCCTTCCACTCCAGCACTAGATTCCGTTCCCTCTCATCTACTCAAGGTCTACGTTTGAACAATTCTCCCGTCTCTTTATTAACAAATTTCCCCTCTCTGTTGGAACTTTCTCATCAGTGAACAACCATGTTATTTCTCCCATTTTAACCTTCTCTTGTTCCCACTTTTCCCCACCACAAAACAAAGACAAAATTTGCTTGTAAAAGACTTGTCTATATTCATTGCCTCCAATTCCTTTCCTTCAATTCTCTGTCAAATCCACTTTAAAAACATTTCTCATATCACTCAGTCATCAGCAGTAGTTGAAACAGTAAATAACTCACTCCTCCTTGAAGCGTTGTCTTCATTGACTTCCAGGACACCGCCCTCTCACTTGGTCCAAAGTCACTGGCAACTCTTTCTCAGTTCCCTCTGCTTATTTCCTCTTATTTCGCTATACTCGTAACAGGACAGCATCCAAGCCTCAGTCCTTGAATCTCTTCTATTCTCTACACTCATTTCCCTGTTGATCTCACCTAGTCTCATCACTTAATTGCCTGTCGGGTTCACAACTATGCCAATTATCATGCTTGGGGTCAGCTTCCAGTCCATGCTGAGGTCCGAAGGGAGTAGGTAGATGAGCAGCAAGAACATTTGGGAAGCTGTAGGCAGGTGAAAGATGATTTTATTCAGCAGCAGCTCTCATCAACAACTTTCTCACACTATCTGCGCTGTCTCAGCTGCTTAGTCCAGTGGCTCCCACACACCACTGCCCAGACAGCTGCCCCCTGCCTCAGGGTCAGCAGCTTAACTCTTTCTCTCTCCAGGCTCAAGCTGAGCCATGCTGTGCCCTGGCTTCCCACTGTCTGCAAAATGGACAGCTTTGGTTCTCTTTCTCTAGGTGCCAGCATGCCTGTATAGTGTCAGCAGGACAATTATACCTTTTACAGACAACAGTGGCTTAAAGCCAAATGATGAGACTTCCCATGTTATGGCTACATGGCTGTGATAACAAGTGGAGTTATATGCCTGCACTCTAAACTCACTGAGTCACTCTGGATGTTTACCTCGGCCTATCCTTGACCAAAGCACAGCCATGTTCCTTACAATGCCATCCATCTATAGGAGATGACATCTATCGATCTGTCTCTCCAGCCCCGATCTCTCTCCTGAACTCAACCAATATATCAGCTGCTGACTTGACATCTCAATATAACCAATAAACCTGTAAATTCCACGTGTCCAAGACTGAACTCCTGATCACCTCCTTCAAACCTGTTCCAGCAGCTGTCTTCCTCTTTGTTGTTGTTGTTGTTGTTATTTATTTGAGACAGAGTCTCACTCTGTCACCCAGGCTGGAGTGCAATGGCATGGTCTCAGCTCACTACAACCCCTGCCTCCCCGGGTTCAAGCGATTCTCCTACCTCAGCCTCCCCAGTAGCTGGGATTACAGGTGTGCGCCACCACACTGGGCTAATTTTTATATTTTTAATAGAGACAGGGTTTCGCCATGTTGGCCAGGCTGGTCTCAAACTCCCTACCTCATGTGATCCACCTGCCTCGGCCTCCCAAAGTGCTGAGATTACAAGCATGAGCCACCGCACCTGGCTCTTTGTTTTGTTTGTTCGTTTGTTTGTTTGTTTTGAGATGGAGTTTTACTCTTGTCACCCAGGTTGGAGTGCAGTGGCATGATCTCGGCTCACTGCAACCTCTGCCTCCGGGGCTCAAGTGGTTCTCCTGCCTCAGCCTCCCGAGTAGCTGGGATTACGAGTGTGTGCCACCATGCCCGGCAAAGTTTTGTATTTTTAGTAGAGACAGGGTTTCACCACGTTGGCCAGGCTGGTTTCGAACTCCTGACCTCAAGTGGTCCACCTGCCTCGGCCTCCCAAAGTGCTGGGATGACAGGTGTGAACTACCGCGCCTGGCCCCTCATTTCTGTTAATGGCAACCCCATCCTTTTGGCAGCACAAGCTCCAAATCTAGAAGTCATCTTTGTCTTATCTCTTTCTCTCTCTCAAACCAACATTCAGTCTGTCAGCAATGGATTTTCAACTCTACTCTTCAGTTATACTTAGAATCCAGCCACTTCTTATCACCTCCACTGTTACCATCCTGGTCCAACTCACCATTATCTTTGGCATAGATTAAGCCTGTCTGGTTCCCTGCTTTCATCCTTGTCACTTTCAATCTATTTGCAACATGCAGCCAGAGCAATCTTTAAAATTATGTCATGTTACTACTCTGTTCCAAACTCTCCATGGCTTTTTATTTCACAGAGTAAAAGCCAAAAGCCTTACAATGGCCTTCAAGGTCTGATAGAATCTGCGTTCTTCCCCCGACCCCGATTTCTTTGATCTGTCAACTCCTATTACTCTCCCTTTTCTCAGTCAGTTTCAACCATCTGGCCTCCTTACCATTCCTTGAACACCCAGAGATATTCTCCCTTCAAGTCAGGTCTTTGCATTTGCTCATACCTCTGCCTGGAATATGCTTTTCCCAAATATCTTGATATCTGTTCCCTCTCTTCCTTCAAGTCTTTGCTCAGTGTTGTCTGCACAGTGAGGCCTTCTTTGACTACTCCATCTAAAATGTAGAAAAAAAGCACGCATTTTTGTCTACCATGTTCACTGCCATATCTCAACACCTAAAACAATGATGTTGCAGTGAATGCTATGGGGCTCCCATCCACATCCCCTTTGCAGCTGAGGCAGTTGTTGCGCTGCTGGGAGTGTTGGTGGTGATGACCCTCAGCTGAGTGCCTCTCCAGGCATTGCTCTCAGCTGAAGAAAGTTGCCTTAGCCATGTTTCTGCTCCTCTCCTAGAGCTAAAGGCTAGCCCGCAACAAATGACTTGCCCACCACTGGGGATATGAAGGCTCAGCCCCCTTGCCTCAACTTGGGATGACTCTAAAGATTCATCCCCAGCTGCAGAGCTGCCAGTAGGGTCAGCTGAGGCCTTTATTGTAACTGCACCATGGTTCAACGGCTCCCTTTGCCCAATCCTACTTACTTAATTCTCCCAGATATTGATGCAGAGGGCACTCCCTCAATGAGCTTTCTGCACATAAATCTTGATTTCAGTGTCTGTTCCTAGTATTCTGTTAGAAACTTGACCTAACACCATTTGTATCAGTAGGGGATAGAGGAAGTAAACTCTAAAAAGACTTTTGGCACTAGATTACCAAGTAATGTGGACCTCATCACTGGCAGTAATTGAGCATTAGTATCCCTTGGAAAACTGTAATGGCACAATTGTTAAATTTTTCCCTGGTGTTGAATTGGGAGGGGATACTGTTGGAAGGGGACAAACTGGCAGGTGCATTATCTCAAGCTTTTGCGAGATTCAGGGGGAAGTACTAAATATAATGCCTCTTGCTGGGTGCTATTGATGAATTTGAGAAAGACAATGAAAGACTGGACTCCCAATCAGTCATTGCAGGTGAAGTGACCAAGTCAGAGGCCTCTTTGGCAGCATAATAAAGAGGCTTTCATTTCCCACAGCCAAAGGGCAGTAAAAGCTGAGGATAAGGCTGAGGATTTAGGTGTGGTGGCTCACACCTGTAATCCTAGCACTTTGGGAGGCCAAGGCAGGAGGATTGCTTGAGCCCAGGAGTTCAAGACCAACTGGGGCAACATAGTGAGACCCTATAATCTACAAAAAATGAAAAAGTTAGCCAGGTGTGATGGCATGTGCCTGTAGTCCCAGCTACTCAGGAAGCTGAGGTGGGAGGATCACTTGAGCCCAGGAGTTCAAGGTTGCAGCAAGCTGTGATCGTGCCACTGCACTCCAACCTGGGTGACAGAGCAAGACCCTGTCTCGCCAAAAAAAAAAAAAAAAAAGCATCACAGAGAATGTTGAATTCTCAGTCCCAGCAAGTCAAGAAAAAGTGGGATTCTGAGACTGAGATGAAGTCTTAATGGGCTAATATACTTGGAAACCTTGAAACCCAGATCCCCCTGAACCCTCCAGGCCTGCAGAAATGGTTTGGTCCTCTCTGTTAAACAGAGACTAGAACTCACTTGGCTTGAAGATGCTGCAGAGGCTTCTACCTTGTAAGGCAACATGTGTTTTCCTTGGGACCTCCCTTTGCGCAACCAGATGAATATCTAGGGTCACCATCCTTTGTTCAGTTTCTGGACTCAGAACCCACTGGGTAAAAGATAAATTGGGTCCTCAGGAGGAAGGATCTTATAATACCATGACAAGTGTATAGTAATGATTTCCCACAGAGATCTAGGGACATTTAGTCAAGGAACCATCCACTGGAGACAGAGGAACACCCATACATTTTGAAGGTTGTGGAATGTAACATTCAAGATGACACTGGTATTCAAAGTGTAAACATGGACCCTCCATCAGAGTTGAAGACACATGAAGGCTAGAAATAAATAGAATTGTGGCCCAGTTCTAACTCACAGTGAGTCCACTTGGTCCAAGTCCTATCAAGTGGTTATTTCCTTGCTCTTTGAATGTATACTTGGAATGGACATACTTGGAAGTTGATAGTACTCCCACATTAGGTTTTGTTTTTTTGTTGTTGTTTTGTTTTGTTTTGTTTTGAGATGGAGTTTTACTCTTGTTGCCCAGGTTGGAGTGCAACAGCACGATCTCAGCTCACTGCAACCTCCTCCTCCCGGGTTCAAGTGATTCTCCTGCCTCAGCCTCCCAAGTAGCTGGGATTACAGGTGTGCACCACCATGCCTGGCTAATTTATTATTATTAGTAGTAGTAGTATTAGTATTTTTAGTAGAGATGGTGTTTCACCATGTTGGTCAGGCTGGTCTCGAACTCTTGACCTCCTGATCCACCCGCCTTGGCCTCCCAAAGTGCTGAGATTACAGGTGTGAGCCACCGCACCTGGCTGCACATTCGTTTTTGACCTGAGGTAGGAATTATTGCAGTGGGAAATGCTAAGTTGCTAAGTGAAAGTCTTTCGGCTTCCGCCCAGTCAATGTAGTAAATAAAATGTCATGCGGTGGGTAGGAATAGCTCTGACTGATGCCACTGTTAGAAACCTAAAGGGTACAGGCCGGGTTCGGTGGCTCATGCCTGTAATCCCAGCACTTTGGGAGGCCTAGGCAGGCGGATCGCCTGAGGTCAGGAGTTCGAGACCAGACAGGTCAACATGATGAAACCCCATCTCTACTAAAAATACAAAAATTAGCCAGGCATGGTGGTGGACGCCTGTAATCCCAGTTACTCAGGAGGCTGTGAGGCAGGAGAATTGCTTGAATCCGGGAGACAGAGGTTGCAGTGAGCCGAGATCGTGCCACTGCACTGCACTCCAGTCTGGGCTATAGAATGAGACTCCATCTCAAAAAAAAAAAAAAAAAGAGAGAAAAAAGAAAAAGAAAAAGAAAACAAACCTAAAGGATACAGGGCCAGCAGTTCTCGTAATATCCCTATTGAATTTATTTCTCTGGCCCCTACAAAAACCAGCCTGAAGACTACTGCAAATTCAACCAAGTTGTAGCTGTAATTGTAATTGCTGAGACAGAAGTAATATATTTGTTAGGGTAGATTAATGTCAGTTTACCCATCAGTCAGATTTTTGTTTTAGGGATCCAGAGGTCTGGGGAATGATTTTCCATCCCCTGCAAATTGAAGGACAAAATGTTGCACCTTGTACCTCCCACCACTAAGAAAGAAGCACAATGCCTGGTAGGCCTCTTTGGATTCTGAGGTAGCATAGTCCGTATTTAGGAATACTGCTGCAACCCACATACTGACGAACATGAAAGTCTGCTGACTTTGAGCAGATATTAGTGCAGGAAAGGACCCTGCAGGTCCAGGCAGTGGGGCAAGTGGTCCCACAGCCACTTGGTTGATACTAAGCAGAAG